TATATACTAAACGTGAGCAAACAACATTTTGCTTGCATAGACTTCTGTTCCCTTTTCACTGCAAGTTGAATTATTTTCATATCTATTATACAGACAAGACTAAAAAGTAGAAAATAAATAATATAAAAAAAAAACTTTTTAATATACAACGCTTTTATAAATGGACTAAACAGTAGAAAATAATAATTCTCAGTCCCATAGAATTTGTTTTGATAACTTTTGATTTTCAANAAAAAAAAAAAACATAAAACAAAAATATACAAAAACAATTTCTCTAAACATGTTTATTCTACTCTATAAAGAAATGGCGAATGGAGAATTTTTTGCCATTTTTTTTTCAATTTACTATAAATTTTGAGGGTGTAAGAGTCAAACGGATCTCAGAATTGGATTCAGCGGGTCGAAATACATGTTGGTAGTTGGGCCTGGTTAAAAACACACGCCCCTTTTTTTGCCGTTGTTATTATTGCACTTAAAATGTTTTCGTAAGAGCAGCAAAGCATTCAAAGCGGAGTCTTCTAAGCTTGACCTGCAGTTTTTACTTACAAAACTTACTGATGAAAAGCATATTTCGGCATCAAAAGGTAGACATAATCCATTTGAAGATAATGACCCCTATCTTCTCCATTACAAAATATTTGTCGTCGGTCAAATTATAAGTTTTTCGATTTGAGGAAGTTTTGAGTAGATTGATCTAAAAAATTATCTAACTTTTCCTTAAAACTCCGTTTCGTTTACATTAGCGACGCTATGAATAAATTCATTGAAATCTTCTTCAAAAAAATGCTCAGACTGCAATTTAAAAGTACAGCTTCAAGCTTTTTGTTAATTGCAGCCAAAACGGCATTTTACAAAAATCATACTTCAAAATTAAACAAAAAATAAACAAATTCTTACTATCAATTCGATATTTCAAAATTTTCGGGATCCCGGGATTTTCGGGACATCAAAAACACCGGGATCCCTAGTATGTATGTACATATATACTAAACGTGAGCAAACAACATTTTGCTTGCATAGACTTCTGTTCCCTTTTCACTGCAAGTTGAATTATTTTCATATCTATTATACAGACAAGACTAAAAAGTAGAAAATAAATAATATAAAAAAAAAACTTTTTAATATACAACGCTTTTATAAATGGACTAAACAGTAGAAAATAATAATTCTCAGTCCCATAGAATTTGTTTTGATAACTTTTGATTTTCAAATTTTAGCAAAAGTCATTATAAACAATTTATGAGATTGAACATGAAAAGCGTGGGGCGCATGTAATAGACCTGAATTGATATGAAGTAATATATGTATGTATGTGGGTATATGAATAACGACCGCTTAAAATCGATCTCAAATTTGTACTTTCTCTGTAGAAATTTTAGGTCTATATTGCATGCGCTCCACGTTTTTCGTTTTCAATCTCATAAATTTTTTATAATGACTTTTGCTAAAATTTCAAAATCAAAACTTATCAAAACAAATTCTATGGGACTGAGATATATTATTTTCTAATTTTTAGTCCATTTATAAAAGCGTGGTATGTACATATGTATATTAAAAAGTTTTTTATACTTTATTTTTCATTTGTATCATGCCAATTATGTTTATCACAATTTTAAAATCTTTAATATGTTGATTATTTATTCCCAATATACTCTTCCCCGTTCTGGTAGCTACATCGACTTTTAAGCTTAAAATTTTCTTGGGCAATCTTTGTTTCAAAAGATTTTGTATGTTATTTGCGAACAGATGTATATGGGCAAATCTAAAAAATAGGTACTCTTTCAAAAAAAAATTTTAATTTTTAAATTTGTGAGCAAACCTATGTTTTATATATAGTTTTATTCGTAATCTCTTAATAAATCGATTAACATAAGTGTAATTCATTTTCATCAAGTGCTTCAAAAGTTAGACGAGGAATGAGCATGAAATAGAAAGCAAAAGAATAAGCTGGGTTGAAATTACGCTGTTCAAGTTGTAAACTTTGAGGAAAGAATTTGAAAGTTGAACTAACTTATTTGGGATGTTCTAAATTCAATGGCATGCCCTGTTTTACCAGATTGGCTCCGATTTTCGAGATAACGGTACTTGAAAATTTGATTAAAGTTTAACTATTTTATAAATAACTCCCTCAGTTTTGAAGTTATTTTACTAAAATTTGGCACATAACAGTTTTTAATATTACCTTAATTATTCCTTAAAATTATAGAAATAGGTTAACATTAACATATAGCTCCAATACAACTGATTACTGAGATATGTGTTTTTGCGCAATAACTCTAACTTCATATCTGAGTAATAAATTGTATGCGTGCTATATATTAAATTGAACCTATACTAAATTTTAACCTGTTTAATTGAAGGAGTTATAACGCAAAACAACGTCTCTGATCAATCAGTTGTATTCCCATGCTATATGTTTTAGTGAACCGATTTCGGTGATTTTATGGAATAAATAGTTAAGGTAATATTAAAAAACGGTTATGTGCAAAATTTTAGTAAAATATCTTCAAAACCCAGGGACTTTTTTATAAAATAGTTAAAATTTAAGCAAAGTTTCAAGTACCGCCATCTCGAAAAGTGGAGCCAATAGGGGAAAACTTAGGACGCCATTGAATTCAGAAGGCTCCAATTAAGTAAGAGCAACTATCAGAACATTTGTCGAAAAAAAGTTGCTTTGATACCACTCTCGAAATATTCTGACTAAAAAAAGGAGCATCATTAAACGTAGTAAATCAGGGTTTTTACACACTTCTAGAGACAAATTTTTTGAAGCATTTTACAGGTATATGTAATTTTATAAGGACTATCAGTTATAGAAAGATTTAGATCGTTTCGACGTATTTTCCAAATGTGCCTTTAATTAAAGTGTTTTTGGAATAAAAATTACGCTCAAGATCGCAGAATATTTTATCTTTAAAAGTTGGTTTATTCTGAAAGCACAGCTCTTGCTAAGGTATCAAATTATTCGTAATTGTTTGTAGTATACAATACATACTTAAAAAGTTCTTAAACTTAAATGCTTCAAAAACTATACGCGATAAACCGAAAATTTTGAAAATTGTGAAATGTGGAACTACAGACTTTGAGTTACTTGCCACTTCGTTATTTTTTAATGCACACTTTTCTTACCTACTACATATGAAGTGTACACATAAGTACTAATTGCACATACAATTTCAAATCAGTATATGGTGTGCTTCAAAAGTTATGACATAATTAATTTTTCACCTCTTAAAAATTACATAAAATATTCACTTGTTTCCATTATTATTTTTTATTTAAACACCTATAATTCAAAAGTTATGCAGCAAACTGATCCAAATTTTTTTTAAGGCTTCAAGTATACGTCAATGAATTATATCCAAAAGCAACCAGCTTGATATAGTTTCCAACAGTGAAAATAAAGCTAAACAACACCAAGGTTACCTGTTTTTTAGATTTGCTCATATACTCAACCTGCTTTCGTTCGTATCAAAATATACTAAATTTAAAGATTTTTTTAACCACGCTCTACCAACGAACGCTTACGAGCGCTTAAAATACGATCTTCTCATATTAGCCCTTTTGCGATTACATTTTACCGCGATAAATACTTGAGCAAACGATCGTTAGCGAAAGGATTGTCTACGTTTTCGTTGGCGATAGATTGCGCGCAATGATTCTCTCCACCAGCGCTCTTGCGACAGACGATCGCTTTCGTACGCTCCTTCTTTGCAATGTATATAAATAAGCTCTTTGCATACGATCTCTTACCAATGAAAACGCTCGTTTGCTCAAGTATTTATCGCCGTAAAATACAACCGCAAGACGAGCTAATAAGAGAAGATCGCATTATTAAGCATACGCGAGCGAATTTTCCCACTCCCTGATTTTAAGTATTAAAAAATATAACTTTTAAGTACTTAGTTTTGTTAAACATGTTAGGATCTTTCTGAGCTCGCGGTCTCTTGGGCCGGGGCCCTCTCGGATCGGGGGCCCCTATAGTAACGCCTCTGTATTTTTAGTATTATGAAATGGCTGAAAATTGAAATTAATCTCGTCGGTAAAGATAATTTCTATGTCTGCGTGCCTCCTTAGTAGCGCTTTGAATCTCGCCTTTCTTTTTTTAACAACTATTTAATGGTGAATCTGTTACTTTCAAACCTTGCACGGTACAAAATGAGTTTGATGTTACGCTCAACCCTATAAAAGGACGCGGTTTTGCCTACGTATCCTTGTCTAGTTTGATAATATTATCATTTTAAGCAACCCTCTGATTTTCAGGGCAACAATCTCCCCTGACAAAGCTTCAAAGGGCAGAAAATGTACATTTTTTGCCTTACAAGAGTGTGACATTTTAAGAAACGAACACAAGGTTTTCTCACCTGTGTTTTAGAATCGAACACGAAAAAAGCAATGGGCAATCAAAAGGCGAAATTTTTTGGTAGAAACGAAAACACCATAAGACAACGAATTGTTTTTTTTTTTTTTTCTTATACTATGTCTTTGACTATAGCTTTCCCTCAAATATTAAGTTCACGGACTGTTGATTCAAATCAACACAAAAGCAATTTTTCTGAATTGTTTACCGCACATTTTTATGCTGACTACACACGAGTAAACCGTTTCCTCGTGTGTAGCATTGTTGCTCATAGAAATTCGTGTTGCCGCAACCATCGCTCTTTTTGTTGTGACATAGCTTTTGTTATTTTCACAGTGCTGGCTATCCGCTATCGTGCTGGCTATAGGTCCGCTGAATAAATATTTTGTAGTAATTTTCATGGACTCTTGTTTTTATAAATGAAGTTCCAAGACAGGTTCTCTTTTCACATCCGTGCTACTAACTCACTTACCATTAATTTTAATGTAAATTAAATAAATAATACCTTAAATCAATCAATTAGTGTCCGATGTAGTAAAAATTAAATAATGTGAATATGCCTTTCTGAAGAAATATTCAAGAATGTTTAGGTACGACAGTTATTATTTTATGCGTTGTATACTAATTTAAGAAAAACTACCCAGGCATGAAACGCTGTACCACTCTCAATTATATACACATCTACTGCGTCTATAGAAACACGCGTCATTTTGTATTTAATATCTTCAGCTGAAGGACACTTATATTTGTTCTCCTCTTTGGTGTGTGGACATTGATTGCTCGGCACACCATGATGGCAGTTACGCACAGTTTTGGGAGACTTGAGACAGTTTTCCGGATCCACTGCTAATAGTACCAAAGTCTCTAGGCCGACGACAACGTTGCAAAGCTGAGGCAATGTAAGTTTGCCTGATAATTTTCCAAGCTGCACTTCCACTAGCCAAGAGTACTCTAATGTGTCTTCGTCAAGTGGGCAGCCTTCATTACTAAACATGGCATGACCACGTACCTAGGATATTTTAAAAGAAATTTACCAAATTTATGTAAATCAATTAAGCAAAAACCGATTGTAGTTAAATGGATTTACCTGTAGTGCTGAGAGGAGCAAATGCCCTTGGTTAATATGTTTATCTCTATTAAGTCGCACCACATGATCCGATGTGATCAAATACGACGGACTCACCAACACTTGAAGAGTTGTTTCATGATAGCGTTTATTCATCTCAAAACCAAAACGTTCGATCAGCACAACAGGACATGGCGGATCATTCTCATTGCAGTTCTTCATGACATGTGCCTGTATATCGTGTATGATCAGCGACACTATCACCTCTAAAGGTCGGTACAAACGAGGATCGAATGACTTTTGCTTCTCTTCAGAAAAAGTCACTTCTGATATGGACTTAGTCGCTAAATCTTTTTCTTTCGACAGTAACTGATCTTTTGGATTTGACGTTGTGCTGTTAGAATTGCTATCCCTCAATTTCACATTTGACTGCTCCATGTCAGTGAAATTTTGGTCTTCGCCAAAGATATTTTCTTTTAAATTAATGAAATTTCGCAATACATTGCCGTAACACATGAGTACCGAGGAGCCTATTTCCAACTCGACAGTAACTTGATCTGCCCCCAAACTGGCTGGATCGAACTTATCCTGATCCTGTTTTTGCCAAGAGGACACTGGCGATTTGCGTATTTTAGGTATGCGCATGGGACTGAGCAAAATTTCTTCTTTTTCAGGCGTGGTAATATCTGCTTGTGGATCTGGACCCAGCGGTGGTACTGGATGGTAAATATACTGTATAGAGAGAGCTACTATTGGTACCGTCCAACAATCTATCCAACCAGAGCTTCTCTGGCATATTTTGCGCCATTTTTTTGTATACAATTCTGGACGGCTTTTAACTCTGCCCCCGCGCGTCAGCAGTCGAGCATTTTCATCAATTGCCAGAACAATAGGACGCGTTGAAGACACCTCCGGAATATACAAACTCAAATCCAAACCTTCGCCGTGTATCCAAAATTTCAACGTGACCGTTTTGGGAAGAAAATCATCGAATGGCAGTGCAAAACTCATGTCGAATACGTCGCCGCAGAAGGCCAAGTGATTGTTTTCTTGATTCGCACTGGAACAATCTATCCAATTGTATTCATTGCATAGCGTTAAAATCTCAAACTCATTTAAGAGTATATTGAATTTGCACGTGTACGGTACAAATGCAAGTATATCGGGTCGAGCTTTGCTGGCCCAATCCTCAATGAGATCCTGAAAGAAGCACTTATGCTTGTAGATGATGAAAGCAGTAGCCTTGCAGCCAGTCAAAGCAATGCTCCAATCCTGCGGTGCATTCCAGTGTGTTGGATAGTGTATGCGCACTTTGTATTCGAGCGATTCTAACTCGGCCAGACTGCGATATTGCAGCGATGTTGTGGCCTCGACGTGGAACAACTGCCCTTGAATTTTCGAAGTGTAACCATCGACATGTGTTACCCAGGGTATGGTCAGCTCTACATACGACGCTGGGCCAACAGTAATATGCATGGCATTTGTTTCTTTATCTTTCGAGAAGAGTATATCGATTGTGGCTTCGCTAAGAACGCAGAGTGTTACATCGAAAGATTGATAGCTCCGAAGCTCACCTGGCTTAGGTGTCGGCGTAACTATCAGCTCTTGCCAGTCGGGTGGATAAAAAAATTTGAAGAGATGATCCCGTTGTCGATCTGCCCATGGTCCATAGCTAAAATCTGTTCCTTTCAAACATTTTATGTTGATACCCCACACCGGTGGAGAGGGTTCAACAACATCACCATTGGCCAATATAATCAAGACTGGTTCTTCAGGCACCAATCCAGGCTCATCCATGTAAAAGTATAATTCCATTTGATTGCACATCATAACTACGAAACCCTCGCCCATGTAACGAGGTGGTTCATCAACTAAACCTGTATACTTTGGACTGGGTGCAAACATAACCTTGGCATTTTCGACATTTGCTTTGACGAAATGCATAAAGCGATCCAGCCGGCAAACAGCTGGTTTAGTACTGTAAGTACAGTGCGCCTCCTCAACCGAAATAGACAATGTTGTTGGTGTGAGTCGATTGCCAAACACAAAACGTCCTGAGCAGATATCCATTTTTATAACCGGTATTAAATCACGCCAAGTGGTCGCTTTCATCGCTTCGGAGTTTTTAACGCTTTGCCGTTTGCTTTGACGGGCATTTTCCATATTCATGTTGTGCTCTTTGAGTTTTGACTTTTCTTCGGTAGATAAATTCTCAGTCTATAGGAATAAAGAGAGAACATAAGTGTGGTTATAAAATCATGCCATTTTTAAATCAAGCACTTTTCTCCATTTTATAACACAGCATTCTTCAGAAAATATTAAACTAAATACGTAATTGAATATTTCATTGACCCTAATTTAAATATTTTGCAACAGGTAGAACCGCTGAGTCAAACATATTTCTATATTTGAAATTCATAATCATGGTGGAATCATGAAAGGTGTTGGACATTAACAGCGTTCTCGCTCTTTTCTGTCATCTTGGCTCCATTAGCTAAATCGATGTTTCCTTCTTGAAAAAAGTACATTTAAAAAGGTATTAAAAAAGTGTTAAGCAACTTCATTTCCTAAATAAAAAAGTATTTGCAACTAGGGATGGGTAAATTCGATATTCGAAGCTTCGATATTCGAGTTTTAATCGAATTTTAGCTCCAAAATGGCGAGTTTTTGAAATCGAACGTTGTAGTTCTAAAATTCGGTTAAAGTCGAAATTTTCTAGAAGAAATCGAATTTCATCTTTATTTCCAGAAAATTAACTCGGCAACTTTCTGATTTGCCTTAAAAAAATACATGTTTTCCGATCTGATGCATCGAAATAAAAAATCTATACCCAGAAGTAATAACAGCCAAACCCAATTTTAAAAAAATTTTTGTACGAAAAAAAGTTTTTTTGTTGAGAGGACCCCCTAAAGGTTTCCTAAGAATAATTTTCTAGAACATATTCTAAATACCTTCCAAATTTGCCTTTTGCGGGGTTTCTTGAAGTAAGGGTCAAAACGACCCTTTTAAGCGGGAGCTAATGGGTTAAAATGTTCCACGATAATATATCCGATGAAATTTTATTACATATATCTTAACCTTTTATTTTCGCTCCGACATATATTTTAACCATTGTTTCGAGTTTTTTGAAAACTACTTATAGCCCAAGAGCCAGCGACGGCTAGACCTTCGTTATTTTATAAAGCCTGAAAGCTTCTCTATGTATGCCCCCAACACAGGTAATAACGAACCCTTCAAATTTGGATAGTAGTGGCTTTGGCAGTTACCAGGTGGTAAGGGTGTATAAAATAGCGCCTCGAATTCGTTATAGTATAAAGGTCAATTTTTATATATTTAATTCGTAATAATATTAGAAACTACGTCGTTCATTGCCAGACACTTAGCATGGCCAGCCATCCCTAAACCATGATAAATTGTAGTTATACTCGTCATAATATAAAAGCTGATTTTTATATATGTCACTTGCGGAACTATCAAAAGATGTTTCCTCACTTGCCAGACCGTTTCGATAGTTCCTTCATCTTGCCAGACACATTAAAAGTCGTAGGTGCGAACATGAAGAAACTGATAAAAATTATACGTTTGTTAGTTACTTATCAGCAGGGAACGGATTTTTAGAACCTAAAAACCTATAAAAAAGGCAAAATAAAGTAACGAAATAGGCTGGAAAAGGCAAAATAAAATAGCGAAAAAGGCAGGATAAGGCACTAGGTGTTGCAAAAAAGGCAAAACAAAATAGCGAAAAAGGCACTAGGTATTGCAAAAAAGCAAAATAAGGCGCTAAAAAAAGACAGAAAATACGAAGACCAATAAAAAAAACATTTATTTTAGAAATGTTTATATTACAAGTAAAAAGAGAAAAACTATGAACTAGTTTCATTATATGAAAAATTTGTACTTTGAATCTTTGACTATTTTATCCTTTCGAGTTTTTAACTCATAAAACTTTAATCTGTATAGTTGTAGTAACACTGAACCACAAGTTTTCTGGCAGCATTTTCATTCGATTTTCGCGAAGAAAAGCCTTGAATGTACTAAATGTGTGCTCGACGTAAGTTGATAGAAGCGGGGCCCAATTTAAATATGGAACGTTTGAAACGTTCATATTATCAGGAATTTTTCCTTTGAATTTTTCCAACACCAATTTGGCAAGAGGTCTCTGCGCTTCTATACGCCGCATGGGCAATGTGTATATTTTTTAATCTTAAAAAAAAAAATTGGAAATGCTATAATCACCTTTTTAAAGGTAGAAAAGGCAAAAAAAAAGGCAAATATCTTAAAAAAGGCAAAAAAGGCAACATCAAATGTGTATACATGGAATCAGGGAAAGCTAAATCGTGAACATTTTTAATCGAATATACTCTATCTCTTTAGCAGAAAAAAAGGCAATTTCCATAAAATCCGTTACCTGCTTATCAGAGTCGGCGGTCTTTACTAGCTGAATTCCAATTTCTAACAAAATTTTCTAATGGCAATGGCTATTCGCTATGCCACAGAGACCATTTTTTTTGCAAAATTTTATAAGAAATATTTAACGTAAAATTAGACTAAAAATCTATAAAAAGATTTTATTTGAGAAAAAATTCTTTAGAATAAAATATTTTTGTCAATAATATAAAAATCTAATAAGTTAATTAATAATGTGTTAGAGACTTATGAACTTTTTTTAAAATTTGATTTAATTAAAATTTCGATATTGTATTAAAAATTTATTGTTTACTAATAGTCCGGTCAATTTAGGCATTCGAGGTTACAATAATTCCCACCCAGCTGAGAATTGGTAGGATTGTTCAAAACACCATCATAAATGAAATCTAGAAAGTCCTCATCGAAAATGGGTTTTCGCGATTTTCAGCAAAACGGTAAGTTTATCATAAAATTAGTTTAGACAAAAATTGTAGATCAGATAATTATCTATAAAAAATGTATAAATACTTTTTTTATAAGGGCAACCGTTTCCTATATATAACGACTCAACAAGTTGGAAGAGTTGTAATCGTCATCTATATCTATATATATAAAAATGAAATGTCTCCCGTATGACGGCGATGCCTGACCAAACGGCTGAACCGATTTCAATTCTGTACAGTGCTTTTTTGGACCTTCTGTGTGGAAGGTTTTTTGATAAAAAAAAAATTCAAAAATTTTTGCTGTTGTTGCTAAAAAATGAAAAAAGTTGAGATGTCAAAATTTCACAATTCCATAGAGTTTTCTGTATATTGTATGTCACTAAACTACTAAACGGCTGGATCGATTTGGTTCATATTTGGAACATATATCAGTACCTTGGACAGAAATTTTTCTACCAAAAATTTGCTTGTATTCGTGCCAAGTTTCAATTCCCCAGCGTAGTTGGTTTAACAGATATATTGGTGACCTCCAAAAAGTGGTTTCAACATTTTATTGTGACGTGTGTATGTATTTATATATGTAAATATCTATCATTATCCCAGCGTATAAGAATTTTAGGAATGTTACCTATCGTGTACATTTTTAGTCCCAATATTTATTTTCAATTGGCTAACATATGTTCTAAATATGAGCCAAATCGGCAAGTAAATGCAATTTTTAGGAATATCCTGACCCAGCGCCACCTAGCAAGCACATTGTTGTGTGTCTACAAATAATTAGTGAGTAAGGTCAGTAATGTAAACACACATGTGACTGCAATATTATGCAAGCAAAGCGTTAGCGGCCACTTGCTTTGAAGAAACGATCAAATTGCAGCTTGCACATGTGGGTCACTTTTTGTGAAGACATTTGTAATGTTGTAAGCGTTAGCGGCCACTTGCTTTGTCGAAACGATCATATTGCAGCTTGCACATGTGGGTCACTTTTGTGAAGACATTTGTAGTGTTGTATTTTCTCAAGACGATGAACTCTGTAGAGCAACTGTGAAACGATTGGTTTCACAATTGATATTTCTCAATAGATGAGAAGTCAATATAAATTGAATTAGAGTAAAAGAAAAGCAATGAGACATTACTACAAGAACATTTAGAAAATACAAGACTACAAAATAAAATAAATTATGATTGGTCACAATATGAAAATATTGGAAAGTAACTGAAAAGTGGGAGTGTCTTAGATTTAAGGAGAAATGTAAAATTTACTATAAAAGCAGTGTTTGTGCACTGAAATAAACAGACTTGTTTTGAATCAAGAATCGGCAGCATTGCCTCGTTTTGTTCTAACTTGTCTCAC